CCTTGCTTACTCGATCAATGCTTCCTATTCAAAAGTAATCCTTTTATTTGCTGCAAAATATTTTCATATGTAGGGGTGTATATTAATATCTCGTCACTTTTACTATGCAGGCATGGCATCACCCATGAGCCAGATGCAGTGAAAGAATATGGGAAGGTGCTGCGTTGCCTCGGCCACGACATTCAGGTTTCGTGCTCCGGCCTCTTCGTGGACCCTGCATCGCCATGGCTAGGAGCCTCGCCAGACAGGGTCAAGTTTGATCCGACTGAAGCCGTCCCTCATGGGGTAGTGGAGGTGAAATGCCCCTACACCATGCGGCTTGCCCCCTCCCCAGATGTAAGAGGTTTCTACATGGTAAAGGACTCTTGTGGGGTTTACAGGCTGAACCATGAACATAACTACTATTTCCAACTTCTGGGACGAATGGCTCTGTCTGGCTTAAGCTGGGGAGACTTTGCAGTGTACACCAAGCATTTTTTGATTGTGGAAAGGATCCCATAGGATCCCATTTTGTCGGTCTGATTGGGTTATATGCAAGAAGGTCTTAGATAAGTTTTATTTTGAAACTTTGCTGTGTTACTTAGTGCAGGAGTAAAACCAGTACAAGCGTGTCTACTTGAGCTTGAACATGATTCCTGTCATCCTTAGAGTGCCTTCATGTGCGCTTTGCATAGAGTGATGCCAACTGCCTGTTTCCCTTTCCCACACCCTCTTCCACCGCCATTTTGTTCCTCTCATTGTTTCTCTGTGCGCCGGAAAGTGGCCTTTGTGTCCATCGGTAATCCCATCCGAGGGGGAAAATGCTAATCCTCCCTCCGTGGGTTCCACAACGCTGCTCCGAACTTCTGAGATAAGGTGCTTGTTTCCGGGAGGGTTATAAGCCCCATGGATTATCGCCGAGGAACAAGATGGCTGCTGGTTTGTCGGCGAGTGGTATTACAAAGGGTGGCATCACCCTAGCAAAGCGCACATGAAGGCTCCCTAGTCATCCTATCTGCTGTAGATGAGCCATTTAGACAGTGCGGTACAACCACTAGCCTGGGGTGTTTAACATGCACCACGCAGTAGTGATATACGACTGCATGCCGGTATGATGCTCATTTAGATGGAAATGGGCAGGGGTGGCGATTTAACCCAACGCATACCAGCTCGGAGCACGTGGAGCGAAAGCTCGTGCTGCAGCTAGTTTTGCTTCCAACAGCTAGTTTTCTTGAGAGGACGTTAAATATTCATATTTTTTTTAGAACTCTTGAGCACTTTACCTCATTTCAGAAGTCCTGCTAACTGTACCAATGCATAGCCTTAAAAAAATTTTGCACAAGATTTTGACCAAACCAAGCTTGAGCAGAACCGTTTATGATCCCATGCTTTTAATAGCAGGGCAAACTACTTGTTACATGGAGTACACGGGGGAGGGGGGGGACCGGTGGTCGAGTGGTCTAGTGCACACTAGGGATCCTGGGTTCAATCCCTACCCCTGTTTGTTTCGACCTGGATTAGCATCGTATCGGTATGCGGTTGTGTATCACTACTGCATGGTGCACGTCAAAGACCCCAGAGGTTAGCGGTTGTACCGTGCTGGTTAAATTGTTCATTTACAGCAGAGACAAGTCGCCCGTTGAGGCAGACGAAGTTCAGGCTGTATAAACATATGAACACACCTTTTCTTTTTCTTCTGTACACTGCCACAGCTTGAGGGTCCCCAGAAAAATATTTAAAAAATGAACTCCTATTCATATAGACTATGGCACACACTGTCACGTGGTAGCAGTAACAAAAAAATATCTAGGCAGAATGACTGTTTATAATGCCAGAATGCCAGCAGTGAGAATCAAGCTCAACATCTACTGCTCTCTTCTTCAGTACCCGCATTTACAAGATACTTTCAAGCGGCCTAAGACTATTTTTTCATCCTCTGTACATTGTGTTAGGATAAGTCCTGTACACACCGTTTTCACTTTTTAAAGCTTGGTTTTTATACCAAGCATTTTTGTGTAGATGAGAGTTACTGGATGACACTTTGAGATGTATAGTATGACACTTGTGAGTGCTGTCCTCTTATGCATTACCAGTCATTACTTTTTGGTATTTCACAAGAGCCTTATATTTGCTAGTTAGCTTGTTTTTGCTGTTTTGTCTTTGCTGAAAAAGGTACTTTTCCCTCCCGACTTTATGTTGCCCTCTCTGCCCTATGTTGTAACATTGCACTTACGCACGACAGGAAGTTCCCATGACATGCATGGAACTTGATATCTTTCGTTTATTTATCAAATGTCTGAAGAGTAGGAATTGCGCATTTACTGTGGCATGGGTGCAAGCTTGGTGTTTTACGGTATTTGTCAGAGCCCAGAATGCCGCTGCCGAATTGGTTTTGTTCCAAAAATGGAATCCGTGTAGGCACACTATGCATGACATTTGATGTGTTTGAACACCTGCACCAATAGATTATTTCCTGAATCCTTCAAGTGTCCTTGCGCATGCTTAATGAATCATGAGAATATAGTTGCATCTATGGGCTGCTGTCCTGTCCGATCAGACATTTCCTCAAACTTTGACCTTTAGCATGAATGGGACTTTTTTTTTCTTCTTGTTCTTGTGTTTTATTTTTTGTGTCTGTTTTGTTCTGCACGTGTTATTTTCTCTTGCAACCGGAGAGGAGAGCAACCTGAGGATGGACTATGGCAATTACGCTTTGCTAAAACAGCTAGGCCATAGTTTTCCGGTCTTCCCAAAGCCCACATGACAAGTGTACTCAATGACACCCCACTCTCTAGAACAGGGGTGGCCAAACCGCGGCTCTTTGCTGGTCCAAGTGCGGCTCGCGGATTCCTCGTAAAGGGACACCCCCCCCTTTTCCTTTTCTCCCTTTCTGCGTTTCCCCAGGAAAACAAAAAGAAAGGATTTCAGAATAAAGCCCACTGCAGCTTGCAGTTTGACAGCCTTGTACTCCCATACGTACAGTCGTACAGCCTTGTGCCCCCATACGTACCGTCAGACTCTAGACAAAAGTTAAATTTGCCCCCCCCCCCCCCCCCCCCCCCCTCCTTGCGCGGCTCTTACAAGTTCCGTGGTTTTGTTTGCGGCTCTTAGGCCAGGTCAGCCTGGCCACCCCTGCTCTAGAAGCTGTTCACTACGGCCCGCACGCACAATGTTTGCAGGTGCATTTGCTATGTTGACACCGGCAGGACGAAAAAACCATCCCCCCCCCCCCCCCCCCCCCTCCTTGCGCGGCTCTTACAAGTTCCGTGGTTTTGTTTGCGGCTCTTAGGCCAGGTCAGCCTGGCCACCCCTGCTCTAGAAGCTGTTCACTACGGCCCGCACGCACAATGTTTGCAGGTGCATTTGCTATGTTGACACCGGCAGGACGAAAAAACCATTACCAGCTTTTTATGGTCAAGTGTGATTGCCATCATACCTACGTTTTTATGATCCTTCGAGTGTGCAAAAATGCGCCTTGGGGAATTAGCACTGTTGTATTTCTGGGCCCAGTTTTTAAACTGCAATGACTGGCTCCTCATGTGCTTCGTGGAAAAGTAGGCACGTTGGGCTTTTTCAAGTACCTATGTTTTGGAAACATTTCATCTTTTGTTATACTCCGCGACAACTTTTCTTGGCAATGCAGTGGAAGGTACGCCCCGCGTCCCCTCTCCCATTTTGAGTGTACGCAGGCTCTCCTCCTCCATTTCCGGGGAGGAGGAGAGCCTGCGTACACTCAAAATGGGAGAGGGGACGCGGGGCGTACCTTCCACTGCATTGCCAAGAAAAGTTGTCGAGGAGTATAGTGACTTGTTTAAGTAAAGGAGCATGCTACGTGAAGTCTACATCTTGTTCCTAAGTTGTTCATAGGTGTGCTTCTTTTGGGTATAAACCATGTGGGAGCGATTTTCCAGGCGAGCAACAAGGCAACGCATCACTGTGCTGTTGTCACTCGATGCATCGCTCACTGGGGCAAGTGCATGCAAACTTCCAAGCGATGCACAAAGTTTTCGTACAGATCTAAAACTGAGCAACGTAACGAGCGGCAGCGAGCCATCTCGCCCAGCGATGGCCCAATCCATCACTTGCCAAGTCGTCCAGATGCTGCTCAGCCTGTATCATTAGTAAACACAGTTGTGGAAACATTTGCAGCAGATTCAGTAGGAAAATATGTTTTATTAAGTTGCAAACAGACTTTTAACCTCTCAGTTCACTTACAGAGCAGAACACACACACACCTTAACCAATTCAGCAGAAGCTTAAGCTTCGAAGACCCCTGGTTTAACTCATGTATGACAAAACCAGAATGTTGGTGTAGGCAGAATGGCAACACTAGTAAAATAACAAGACTGACTTTGCCTAACAAGGGAAATAGTTCAATTACACATTTTGCCTCTTGCTTGGTGAAACACACGCTAACTGAAACTGTTTCTCATGTCAAGCAAAGTCAATCTTGTTACTTTTGTAACTATGCTAATCATCACAGCCTTTTATCAGGGGACTGAAAGTTACTGAGGATCACACAAATCGTCCACATCTCGCTGGCCAGAGGAGCGATTGATATGGCGATGGGTCTGTCAAAAATATGGAAATTCTTGATTCGCTGGATGCGCCGCTCCATATGGATACGAAGAGAAGCAATCTCTTCCGTCTCTTGCACCTCTTCCTCTGTGAAATGCCCCCTGCGCAGGAAAGGCGGTATGTTCAGCTTCACACTGATCTTGCTGAGTAGGTCTTGTATTTTGAAGCCTTTGTCTGCCATGACTGAATCGCCGTCGTCAAAAGGAAGCTTCAAGAAGCCTCTCTTCTCAACAGCCTCCTTGTCCGAAATAGATCCTGTGAAGAGCTGAGACACAAAAGTCACTGTTCCGTCCGGGGAAATACCAACGAGTCCGAAATAACAACGAGTTAAATGTGCTGGTCGACTTGTAGGTCGAAAAAGTTGTCGACTGCAGCACAAGAGAGCTTGACGCTTCACATCTGACTTCCGTGGAGTCGAAAATAACGCGGGCGGATGGGTAACGCTCCTTAAATGCTGGTGGCATGGCGTCGTCCACTTCTGCTCTGGGCAACCACAGGTCCAGCTGGCCGAGGTGCACAAAAATGTAGTTGATCCAGGTTATGCACACCTTTGAGACAGTGGCCACGGACACCTTGAAAGCGTATGCAAGGTCTCTCTCAAAAAGACCAAGGCGCAGGTGCACACGCACTAAAAAGAGTTGTTCATTTGATGACAAAAGTGGGTTTCTGCCAGCATTTGTGGTCTTTTCGCTGTATGTTGTGGACCAGACTTTGATGTTTTTCCCATCTTCCTCTGGAGCCAAGAACTCCCAAAGGCTCATAAAGTGTCCATAACGTAACATTCCAGTGTAAAATTGCACGTCCGCACGGTAGTCTTTAAAGCATTCAATCGAAAATTTTCGACTTGCTCCTTCCTCTAGGGTCCTGCACCGCGCTTCTGCGAGCTCCAGCTCTCGTTTGGTTCAGAAGAGAGCCTGTTTTGTGTCTTGAAGCTCCTTTTCTTGTCCATCAAAGCGGTTGCACTAGGAAAGAGCATATTGAAGCTCTGAACGGGCCTTAGACAGGGCATCTTCACTGCCTCTCAGTTGCTTGTTACACCTCTCGAGCTCGAGTTCCAAATCCTGTATAAGCTTTGCCTGTGACTCTGTGAGCTCTTGCAAGTCTTGGAGTGGACTCATCTGTGTTGAATCGGGCAGGTCACTACTGCCAGTCTGGCATGAAGCTTCATTACCAGCGCAGTTGAGGACTGCACCTGTGGCAGCATTAACGCAGTCGTCGATGTTACAATCATTCACTACGCTGTCTTCAGTTGCGACTGCGTGGCACATGAAGTCAGCGTTGAAGTCTTCCATAGCATTGACAGTGACGATTTCGCCGCTTGCATTCTTCTGGCTCGACGCCCCAGGTGCCGCGTGTCCACCGGTCAGATCGACGAATGCGTAGCTTGCCACTTCACTAGCGAATTCGCTGATCGCGTCTTGACTGCTTGGATCGGCGATTGCGTCATTCGTCACTCCGGCACAAGTGGAGGAAAACTTCAGCGTTGACGGCGGCGCCTGTCGTACCCGTGGTTTCTTTCTAAGCGGCCTTTTCACGATGTTGAAAGCGAAGATGCTCGGCACTGCTTCCTGTGTGAGGTAGTGACGTTTACTAGCGATGTTCGCAATGTAGTCACCCTCTCGAAAGTGTCCTGAGCAAACCTTAGTGTACTTCATAATGGAGAAGTGCTTTCCTTCGTCACGTTTTGTCGCAACAACCCATTTTTTTCGGAGAGCGGGGTCGGATGGGACGGCGAACAACGATACCTGTAAAGAAGAAAGTATACAAACTCGCGAGAGGTCACACGAAATGCCCGAATGTTAACGTTATCTCGATACCCCAAGCCCAGCAACATCGCTTCTGTTTACAAAAAGAAAAGGGTGCAGGTGCATGCTCCCTTCCGTCACGCCAGCGCTTGAGAAGCAGCACGAGACGGCTTATATCATTCCATGCTACTAATCTGGCGGGATCTCATCCGTTTCGATTGTCGCAGCAGTCGCGTGCGTGCACCGCTCAACCGTGAGCGCAGCGGCCCAGCGGGTCGCGGGTTTAAGTGGGCTCACCTTGTTTCCAGAGGCATCCTTGAGTCCTTTTTGCTTACACAGCGGCACACAGCAATGAAAAGGCATCGCAGAAGCAGCGTGTGGCGAAGTATCAGCCGCGCAACACCTTCTGTGGCCGCAGTGGTGGCAGTGGTGTCGGTGGTGTAGTGCACGTTGAGCAAGCGCCGATGCGACAATACACGCTTACGGCGGACGCACGCTGCGCCACGCCCACCTGCGAAGCTTTTCAATCGTTCCGGTAGATGGCGCTGAATTTGTAAATGGGTCTAATTGTACAGAAATGAGCGGATTATTAAAATGCAATGATGTTCTTCCGAGCATACACAGTGTGTTCCAAGGACACTGTTTGGTGATACAATCATCTTCTTTCTTTTGGTTTGTGCTTGTGAATTCACCTCGAGATCGAACCGTGTCGCCACCGTGCAGCCGAAATTGGAAACATGCAAAAGCGGGGATACCGCCGTGTGTCGTCTGCTATGGGCGCACGTTCAGAAGCATGGATCTCAACGATGCAAGCCCATTTCCAGCTAAGCTGAGCCCTCCTCATTAAACGCTAGCTGTTTTGTTGCTGTTTCTTCCTACTAAAGGTTATGTCGGAAGCTCCCATATTCGTAGTGTTGTGGTATGTCTGCTGGTCCCACATACTTTTTATATCTCCCACAAACCATAAAGTTTATAAAACATTGAATGTTGATTGAGCTATGGTTTGATTAAAAAATTAATACAACTGGTTGTTGCACTTTAAGACTAATCAATTGATAAATCCATTAGTTGAATTTTTACCGGTCATATTGCATGAAAGACATTAAAACCAACATTTTTTTACTATTTTCTAAAGCAGGCATTTTTTACTTGTTCCTAACTTTTTCCAGCACAAGATTCCGATTAAACAGAGAAAATATATATTGCACGTAAAGTATCAATTGAATAATCTGAAGGTTAATTGAGGAGCTGCCCAGTCCCTATATCTCTTAGGTAAGGGCGGAGGGTGATTGGAAAGCCTCGTGAGAGTCACTAGCCTTCATCAGTAAAAGAGTGTCGCAGCTGCCAATGCCGTCTGTGTCGTGGTGTGGGTTGTTTGTTAGAGTTGCAGTCTACTATGTTTCAATAGAAGATTATTTAGCCAGAAGTTTAATATAACCGACACTATCGGGAAAGCATATAATAACATGCACACTACTGCGTTGCTCAATTAGACCCGCTTGTTTCACTCGTGGCAGATATATTAGAATCATTTGTTTTTCTTGTTTCAGTTGTCTTGCCAACGAACAGCTTTTGGATCGTAACTAGAAGAGGCACTGTCTCCACATCGCAACGTAGTAAAATTGTTCCAACTCCGAAAAACTTACCCAAACCAAGGCACAGTAAAAAGAAACATTGGCAGCAGCGTAACTCAATAGCACGGTTATTTTCCGATACTGCACTAACTACTCTTCATGCTAAATATGTATATTACGTACTGCAAAAGCTAAAAGTTACAAAAATAGATAGCGACTTCAGAGCCCACAGTACTCGTATTATGTTATCCAGGTTGGAATTAGCCGGTACATCTAATTTAAAAGAAACAAAAATTTCACATCCAAGCTCTCTGATGATAAAGTCAACGAAGTCACCGGAGGGGACACTACTAACGTGGTATGTACTTGAAACTAAACATTTGAGAGAAATCTCTCTGGTTGGGGAATACAATAATTAAAATATGGCAACCAACCAATTCCTAAACATGTAGGAGCCCTACGTTTCGAACCGACTTGGTTCTTCGTCAGGGGCGACTGTGGTCGTTTGAGGAGCGGCGTTTCTCGATCTTCTTTTTCTTCTCTCAGGGATGTGGCGCATTTCTCGATCTTCTTCTTTCATGAATATGGTGAAGCCCGTTCACATACACTGTTGGTAAAGCACCAAGGCACCTATTTATGTTGCCTGGCGTCGTTTGAATACGCCAGGACTCGATGAAAAGCCTATGTCGGTTGTTAGCCTCTGCGTCGATAATGCTGGTGTTGTCGAAGTCAATCCGGTGGTCTTTGACTTCGCAGTGCTCAGCGACTGCGCTGCGCTCGTGGTCGAGCTTGCGAACGTCGTTTTTGTGCTGGCATGTTCTTTCATTAAAATTCTTTGTCTCGCCAATGTAAGTGGCTGAACAATCTGCACAAGGGATTTTATAAACCACGCCCTGCGTTTTTTCCTTCGAAGGGCGATCTTTTGGGCGGGGCATGAGCAATCCAAGCGTGGACATCGGCTTGTGGGCCACGCGGATTCTTTCTTTGGCTAGCACGCGTGCAAGCGCCTCGCTTGTTCCTTTGATGTAGGGTACGCAGATGCGCGAGGTTGGGCGTGGCTGCGTACAGGCTTGTGGTTGCTGGTGTCTTTGACCTCGAGCTTGACGACGGGCAACGCGTTGGATGAAGGTGCTCGTGTATCCGTTCTTTTTCAGATCAGCACGGACGGTGTTTTCTTCCTTTCCTCTGTCATCCTCAGAGGAGCATATAGCCTTCATCCTAGACAGCATTGTCCTAACCACCGATGCTTTCTGGCAGGCTGGGTGATAGGAATCAAACTGGAGATAAAGTCCGGTATGCGTGGGCTTCCTGTAGACCGAAAACTTCAACTTTTCTTTTTCTCTTCTCACAAGCACGTCCAGAAAAGGCAATGAATTGTCTTTTTCAAGTTCCACTGTGAATTGGATAGCCGGTTCGATGGAGTTGAGGTGTGAGAAGAATCTGTCCACTTCAGATCTTTGAAGGATGCAGAAGCAGTCGTCCACATACCGCACAAATATTTTGGGCGTAGTGGCGAATGACTGCAGGGCCTCTTCCTCAATGGCTTCCATGCACAGGCTAGCCGTGGTAACGGAGACAGATGCGCCCATGGCGGTTCCGCTGGCCCGTTTAAAATACTCTCCCTTGACGCTAAAGTAGGTGTTGCTAAGGCAGAACTCAAGGAGGCGGCACAGTTCCTCCACACTAAGGGCGGTCTTGTTGTGCAGGTCTTTGTCTTTTTCGAGAGCCTTCCTGGCAGCTGTAACTGCCAGGGGAACCGGCACACTTGTGAAAAGTGAGATGACGTCAAAAGAGACTAGGCTTTCCTCAGCGCTCACCTTCAATTTCGAGATGCGCTCCACGAAGTCGCTGGAGTTGCTGATATAAGTCGTCGTTTTTCCGACGAGAGGAGAGAGGGTGTGGTGAAGTCCACTGGATTGACTTCAACAACACCAGCATTATCGACGCAGAGACTAACAACCGACATAGGCTTTTCATCGAGTCCTGGCATATTCAAACGCCGCCAGGCAACATAAATAGGTGCCTTGGTGCTTTACCAACAGTGTATGTGGACGGGCTTCGCCATATTCATGAAAGAAGAAGATCGAGAAATGCGCCACATCCCTGAGAGAAGAAAAAGAAGATAGAGAAACGCCGCTCCTCAAACGGCCACAGTAGCCCCTGACGAAGAACCGAGTCGGTTCGAAACGTAGGGCTCCTACATGTTTAGGAATTGGTTGGTTGCCATATTTTAATTATTGTGGTATGTACTAAATGTGCTTTTTTGTTCTGTTTAGTTCTCTTCTTTTGTCTTATCTAAAATACAATTTTAGGTAGCCGGTACAGATGAAGAGCTCGGCCCTTCCAGGAGCCCGACTGGGAATGAGGATGATGTCGGAACTGACGAGGAGCCGCCTACCGTTGAACCACCCACCAAAAAAAAAAGAAGCCAGTTGTGACCTGTTCCACTAGACCGTTCTACCTGGTGGACACACGGTGTACCTACCAGCCGCTTGGCAGTTCAACTCCGGACGAGCCACTGCAATACTTCATGCGGTACTTCACGGATATAGGCTTTGAAGACCTTACAAGGTTTAAAAAATCAATGTCCTTCAAAAGACTGGAGTTAAACTCTCTTGCTCAGTTGATGAACTCAAGATGTTCTTCAACATTCTTATGTACATGGAAGTTTTGAAATTTCCAAGGGTGCGGATGCATTGGCAGGTTGGCACCCGCATCCCAGCTATCACAGACTCAATGTCTGTGAACAGATTTTTTAAGATTCGTAGTGCTCTCCACATCACACACCAGAATGCAACAAGAGATCCGTCGGGCACAGACAAGTTCTGGAAGGTGAGGCCTATTCTGAAGGCAGTTAGAACACGGTGCCAGGAGCTGGAAGTACTTGAGCACACTAATACTGATGAGCAGATGCTGCCTTTCACAGGGAGGGCTGCTGCCAAACAAGTAATTAAAAGCACGCCAAACCCTGTTGGCATTAAGATCTTCATTCGATGCAGCAGTGATGGCTTGGCGCATGACTTTGAAATCTACCAGGAAAAGGGCACCGGCATCGACCCTTAGCAGTCTCATCTTGGACTCGGCAGGTCTGTTGTGATGAGACTAGTGGATAACTTTCCACATTACAAGAACCTCAATGTTTTTTTGAAAATTATTTCACTTCAGTTCCACTTCTGAGGAAGATAAAGAAGATAGTCATCCTAGCCACAGGAACTATCAGATCAAGCAGGATGAGTAGCTATAAGCTGAAGGAGGAAAAAGAGATGAGGAAAGATGAAGGGGGGGCAGTAGGCACCAAGGTGACTGAAGAAGGGGATGTGGTGCTGATCCAATGGAAGGACAACAACCTGGTGAATGTTGTGTCTACGCAAGTTGGTGTGGACCCAGACACGTAAGAAGGTGAGGTGGATCCACAAAGAGCACATTGAGATTAAGTGCCCCCGAACAATTTTGGAGTACATTAAGTACATGGGTGGTCTGGAGAAGCTGGTCTTCATCATGTCCCTTTATCCTATTCATGCCAAGACGAAGAAATGGCCTGCGAGAGTAATCTCACATTTTGCCTCTTGCTGCTGCAAACTCCTGGCTGCAGTATCTGAAGGATGCGACCACGAAAGGCCTTCCACGAGCATCAAGGACATGCTGGAATTCCAGACGGATGTCGCCCTCAGCATGGTACTCTCCAACAAGCCAATTGAAAAGAAGAGAGGATGGCCAAGCTCCAAAAATGCGCAGAAGGCATCCAAGCCAGCCCCCAATGCCGAGCCTCTCCCGACGAACTCTGTGCAATTTGATGGCAAAGAACACTGGCCACAACATGTCTAGAACGAGGCGGTGGTGCGGCCATTGGAAGGGATGATTGGTGACGAGCCAGAGTACGACTACGCAGGTACAGTGTCAAGGCACATTATTCCGCACTTTCAGCTCTCCACTTGCAGGTTGTGTGCACCTCCCAGGACAGTGGACCGACAACCAGACCGATGGTGGTGCCTTACGTCCACGCCCTTTCCCATCAGGCTAAGCGAGTGCCTTACAAGTATAACGTGCCAGCAGTGTTTTCAGCACCCCAGAAGTTGCCACGATTGTGCTCTGCCGTGAACCGAGGGAGTACCAGTGATTTCCTTTGTGG